AAAAATTTATTGACAAATTAAGTTAATATATTGTTCTGCTCTCAGGAATATAAATAAACTGGGAAAATAATATCTCCCTAATGTGTTGTAGTTGATGGTGTGCTAGATAGGCTTTTTTTCTTCTTCTTCAAAAACCTTTTGAGAAAGCCATCTACATCACAAAATATGTAATTTACATATTCTTGCGTAATTATGTTTTAATGGAGCAAAAACTCATATATGCTTGTGACAACGTAAATTTTCACTCACCAAATTATATGAGTGAATTTGTTTACTGCACAAGATATGAGTGAATTTGTTTATTTTCCAGACAAGATGGTAGCACAGGATTGGATATATGACCAGCTCACTAGTACTCATATATGGCTATAGCTACCTTAATTATATGAGTGAATTTGTTTACGGACTACGATTCATAGTGACAGCAGGTGAAAAATAATTTCCTATATCTGAATTGAAGTCTCGATTGATTATATATAAATGCATCAAATGAAACCCAAACCTAGAAAGAAAAATAAAAGAGAAATTAATAAACAGTATGCATCATCATCGTCATGAATTGAATCCAGAAAAGAAGAACAGAATAATTTAGAAGATACCTACCTAGTAATAATTAAGGTAGCTATAGCCATATATGAGTACTAGTGAGCGGGTCATATCCAATCCTGTGCTACCATCTTGTCTGGAAAATAAACGTTGGACAAGAAGCTCCTCCCTAAGGGGGCCAACGCCTCAACTTCTACTTTGCTACGGGTCTCCACCATTTTCTTGAGCTCCTCAACCCATTCCGGACGTTGCTTCACGACTGCATCTTTTTCCAAGAGACGTTGCGCTAGCTTAAAATCCTTGCTATTCATTGGCCGCATACACCGTGGATGCATTTTTAACGCCACCACGTCACTAGGCCGGAGTCCCAACCACTTTATGTCGCATCCTCCTGCTACGAAAAGAGAGAAATTCTTCACCGACCGTGGACTACTCTCGGCAATGGCTAACACTGGGAGATCCAACTCCTCCTTCATTTTCCTTACAAAGGAGATCGTATCCTCTTCGGGCACGGGGTCTGGTGTGTAGACAATGATACAAGGAAACCTACGGTCAACCTCATCCTTAGTCAATCGAAAGTAAGCCCCGTAACTCCCAACCACCAGTATTATGTACTCTGCGTTGCTCGTCATGTCACCACCGCTGCTATCGACATCGCTCAGAGTAACCTCTCGCCCACGGGCATTCGCACAATCAACCATACCCCGCCCATGTATATTGCAGCTATTAAAGGCTTTATATATATATATATATATATATATATATAACAAATCACGATGATGTACCGATGGAAAAAAAAAAGGGATTACTAGCCAAAATTCGTTCATACGGAACAGATGAGAAAAGTATTGTAAACAAAAAGAAATGGGGTGTACAAGACATGAGAGAGAAGATGAGTGCGGGAGTTGAGAGGAGAGATGAAGACCAGGTATAAACGGTGTCAGTTTGATAATAAGGCAACAAATTTACTGTAGGCGATGTGGCATTACCTATAAGCATTGGATTATTTGGATGGTCTAGATTTTATGAAATGCGGGCAAATGCACCATCTCTAAATGCAGAGACTCAAGATCCATATATATACATGGAGCTTCAATTGAGGGATTCCTCAAATAAGTATTTAGGGGACACTCTTGTAGGGCCCACTTCGTATTGTATTTCACTAATCCAAACCATATCTTTTATAGATACTCGTTCAAAGATCATCTCTATAAAATAAATAATAAATAAATAAAAAATCACTTGAATCCGATATCATTTGACCATTGAATTGAATTATTGAAATTTTAGTACTTTCTTAAAACACCGTGTTCATTGATTTTGTAGGACACAATTGGATATCAAGACGGTTTCCAATTTGTGTAATTTTTTGCAAGAATGATCTATGAATATAGACTTAAAAAAAAGATAATTTGGATCGTTGAAAATAAATTTGTAAGGAACCTTGAAGGGTGTCCCTCAAATAAAATTATTTTAGTCTTTCAGTTTGCTTATTTGTGTAATTCTAGACCCAATTGCTAACCTTATTAAAATTGAATAAAAATCTAACGTGGTAACACATGTCTTGTGCAAAGTAAACTACAGTACTAAAATTGTCAAGTCTAAAACTACATGATAAAAGTGAAAATTTGTCAAACTATAGTAACCATAAAAGTACTTCCATCGGAATTAAAAATTCGCGGCCATTCTTTAAGGTCGCCCAAAATCTCATAGGTATATTTTGTTTAACTCATGAATGTACGTTTTGGGCATCAACATTTGTAATTACCTCATTTTATTTTGTTTGTTTGCTAAGTGTAAACACATGATTCTACGCTTAGTTTAAGAACATCCACAATGAGCTCTTTAAAACACATCCTTAGACAAATTTTAGGGAGGAATTGGAAAAATACAACTTCAACCATGCTCCCTATCCACGTCCTAAAATAAGGAGACCTCTGGGAGCTCCTAAATCTGAGGAGAGAGAAAAGACTCGTAGCGGCTCCCTATAATTTAATACTGCTTTATTTAATGAGTATTTCAAACTTTTAATTAATGCTAACTATTTTTTATATTATTTTTAATAGAGATTGACCAATTAAAAAAGAATTATAGCATTTATGACTCCCAAAACTAGAGAGTATGATTGAAGTTTAAATTTTAAAAAGAACTCCTAAAATAAATTTTATATGTTTTTGTTGGCTCTGCGCAAATCTCGCGGCCTGGTGCTCCGGGCCGAGGGGATGTGCGTCAACACGTGACGTCCTTCTTTTGGATGCGGTGCGGTTGTGTGCGGGCGTGCCAGCATGGTCTACCGTGCGTCGAGATGATGATGAGGTTCGGGTAGAAGATGGTTAAATATTGCACCTGTTTTGCGTTCGACTTCTAATCAAACGATTGTGGCCTAGAAAGGAACTGATCTCGGCCGTCAGGTTCACGGCCTGAGCTACAAGGCCATTTAGTGGTGGTGTTGGTGGCGGGTTTTAGGCGGTGCTCCGGCGCGTTGCTCAGAGAGCTACGGTCGTATGATATATGGGGTGAATGAGACGAAATAGAGATGGTGCTCCAGCGCCTTGAAAATCAAGGGTCGTATGATATATTGATGAATGGATTTTCCTTACAATCTACCACTACTCCTAGAAAAGCAAATAAAGGTATTGAAAGTGCATTACAGGAAAATATAATTTGCTCCGTGGGAGGCTTTTGGTTTGGTGTTTGAACCCTTTGAATGTAGTCCTGAGCTTAGTATTTATGGGAGGAGTCCTGGAGGGGAAATCGAGGCTGACAAGACCTGCGTGGTGGAGCCTGACCGGGGCAAGTGGGTAGTCAAATTGGCATTTGGGATCGTGAAGCATGGTGGCTTGGGGTTGAGAAGCATGGTGGTGTGACCCCCATAAATCTCGGTAAATCTCGGCCACCGCCCTGATCGTGGGTTCTGCCCCCTTGGCCGTAGGAACTCATTTAATGCCCTGGTCTGATGGTTGGTGATCTGACCTCAAGTCGTAAGATTACTTGTGAGAATGTCTGCGCCTAACCACCCCGATTTCCATCACCAAATCCTGACTTCAGTCACTTCCCTTCTTCCCTTGTGCATTAAATGCTTCTTGCGACTAGTGGGTTTGGTGCAAACATTTTTAGCTAAAATCTAACTAAAAAATAGAGAACATGATTGGGGATGCGAGGAGTCCATTTATGTAGACCTACTTATGAATGAATTTTGAATGGGCATAAATCATTCCTTACTCCTATTTTCTGACCTCGAATGTGTTCTTTGTTTAACTTATGAATGCACGTACGTATGTTTGTATTTTTAAAAATCAATCATATTATGTATATATGATAGACATATATATATATATATGTGTATTCTTCATGCTTAATACACATAGCTCCAAACTTTTGAGTTGAGTGAACCACATAAAGTCATGCTCTCTTGGTGTGATTGTTCATCCAGTTTTGAACATCAACAACAAAATTTTCTATTGTGACTTGCCTTTAGTTCAAGTGACAGCTCACATTTCTTGTGAGCAAACTCTGTGTAAAGATATCAATGGTCCTAGTGCTGCCACGTGTCAGAAGATTAAGTAATAAAGCTGTTGAGATATTGTTAGACCTGTTAGGCAGTTTAGGAAAACTGTTAGTACTGATAAGAGAAGGTTAGAGAAGTTAGAGAGGTTAGAAACACGTGAACATGGCTTTAACTCAGCTGATATGAAGTCTGTAATTGTGCTCAGTTGAGCTTAAATGAGAAATACAACAAGTCTCTTCTCTATCTCTGAAATTCTCTCTGCTCCCTCTGCTTTATTTCTTTTATCTCTGCTCTATATTCCTTTTCAGTCTTCCTATCTTAACATGGTATCATTCGCCATGGATCGATCCTGATATTCTGTTCTTCTGCTTCTGTACTCTCTTCCTCTGGCTTCTTTCTCTACTCAAACACAGCAACCAATTTCGTGTTCTTTGCTCTGCCTATTACCTGTTTGATCTTTTGTCTCACTGAAAATTCTTCTTCAATATTCCCTTTTCTGAAAATTTCTTCTTTCTCAACCCTAAATTCTTCTATTTTCTTCTTGAATTCTCCACATGGTGACTACTACTCAGCTTCAAATTGTTTAGTCTCCCATTACCACTTTGATTGCCACTGTTTCTTCTTATGTGACAATCAAGCTTGATGATACAAATTATCTCACATGGAATTTTCAAATGCAGCTCCTTTTTTAGGTTCATGGCATCTTGGGTTTTATTGATGGATCACGGAAGTGTCCTACTCAATTTGATGAGGACTCCAATGTTGAAGGTGTCGAAATTGATGCTTATCAAGTTTGGAAAATGCATGATCATGCCTTGATGCAATTGCTTATTGAAACTCTTTCTTCCACTGCTATTTCTTATGTCATTGTGTGTACTAGTTCTCATGATATGTGGGTTCAGTTGAAGATCGATTTTCTACAGTTACAAAAGCTAGCATTTTTCAGATGAAAAGTGAGCTTCAAACTATCAAGAAGGGTTATGAAACTATCTTCCAATATCTGCAAAGGATAAAAGATGCTCGAGATCATCTCTTTGTAGCATGGGTTTCTTTTGAAGATGATGATATTGTGATCTTGGCTCTCAGTGGTCTTCCTTCTGAATATAATACATTTCAGTGTGTGGTTCAAGGCAGAGAAAATGTGTTATCTCTTAAAGATTTTTTGTCTCAGTTGCTTGCTGAAGAAGCCACTCTTGAACACACTAACTCTACAACTCTTTTTGTCTCTGCAATGATGGCTAAAGATAAGACATTTACAGGCAAAACTCTAGTTCTTAATGAAGGTTCCTCTAATCCTGTTTCATCTCATACTCAACGTTATCATTCTAGTTTTGGTTCTGCTTAATCTTCTCATTTTCCCTCTGGTAACAATGGTGGTTTCCACACTAGTGGTTATTTTACCAATAAGGGTTCTCATTTTAGGGGTCGAGGCAAAGGTCGCAATCATTATCCATCTAGTCCAAGAACTCATCAAGCTCCACCTAATTCCAGCCCTGACATTCTTGGTCCTGGCATTGACATTCCCACTTGTCAAATCTGCAACAAGAAAGGTCATGTAGCTGCTGATTGTTATCAAAGGCATAATCAACCCTCTGTTCCTACCTCATCAGTTCAATGCCAAATTTGCTAAAAGTATGGGCATTCTGTCATTCACTATTACCACATAGGCAATTTCTCCTATCAAGGCAAACCTCATTCAACCAATCTTATTGCAATGCATGCCAACTTCCCATCTTCTTCATCTCATGAGCAATTTTGAGTAGCATATACTAGGGCTACGACTTATATGACTTCCAATTTGTTTAGCTACTCCTTTCTCAGGGAATGATACTATCACTACTACATGAGGTTCAGGTTTGAGCATTTCTAATGTTGGTTCTTCTACTTTGGTTGCTTCACAACGTTCTTTACAATTAAAGCAAGTTTTACATGTGCCAAAGCTTTCTCGGCATTTGCTTTCCATTCATAGTTATGTAAAGATAACAATTGCATATTTATTTGTGATGCCTTTGGTTTTTGGATTCAGGACAAGATCACGGGGAGTGTTCTTCTCAAGGGACTGTGTACAGTCGACTTGTATCTTATTCCTTTCTTCACTTCTCCACCCAATCACAAACAAGCATCTTCTTTCCACAAGAATCATTTTTTCTACCTTGGACATCACGTCAACACAAGTCTCTGGCACAAACGCTTAGGTTATCCCTTAAATAAAATCACTTCAACTCTTTTACATCAATCACATGTTTCTTTTTCTTTTGATAATACCAAATCTGCCTGTACTACTTGTCTAGAAGGAAAACTTGCCAAGCTTCCTTTTCCTTATCTAGCAATCAAATCTATACAACCTTTAGAAGTAGTTCATAGTGATGTGTGGAGTCCTTTTCCCACATTCTCTGTTAAGGGTTTCAAATATTATGTAAGTTTCATATATGAATGTACTTGATTTACTTGGATTTCTCCAATGATCAATAAAGGAGAAGTTTATTCTATTTTTGTCTATTTTCATGCTTTCTTAGTTACTCAATTTTCTACTACTCTTAAAAAATTTCAAAGTAATGGGGGTGGTCAGTACCTTAGTACAAAATTCAAACTTTATCTTCTTACCAATGGTATATAGTTCATAAAAAATCCTGCCCATATACACCTTAGCAAAATGGTCTTGTTGAAAGAAAACATAGACACACTTTAGAGATTGCAATCACTTTGTTACAAACTGCACATTTACCTCCCAAATTTTGGTTTCATGCTTGTACTACTTCAACCTACTTGATCAATCGAATGCCCTGTGAAATTCTTCATTTCAAATATCCTTATCTTTTATTGTTTGGTTCCAAACCAGTGATTACTTACTTGAAGGTTTTTGGTTGTGCTTGTTTTCCTTTGCTCAAGCACTCAAATTCTCACAAACTTCAGCCCAAAACTTCTACTTGTATTTTTCTAGGCTATGCATGTCAATATAAGGGATATATCTATTTTGCGCCCTAAACAAACAAGTTGTTTGTAACTAGATATGTCATATTTGATGAAACTATGTTTCCTTACACATCTGTTAATCAAGTGCATGTTTCTCCATCTCAGTCTCTATATACTTCTTATCTTCCACCATCTATTTCATTGCATAACATTGTTTTGACACTTGTATCTCATCTCCATGTTCCTACTCCCTCTCCCACAACCTCTAAAGCCATAGCCTCTTTGAATACACTACCTCCTAGTGCTTCATAATTTTTGATCTCCTCTTCACAAAATCTGCCAGTTTCAACATCTGTTATACAGTCTCCTCTCCCTGTAGATCTTGATTTTCAACTTAAGAATCTTCGTGTTGTATTACCACTTCTAGCCTTGAATCTTCACCCTATGACAACCAGGTCTACAACGGTATTTCCAAAAGAAAGGCTTATTCTACTCTTGTACAGTCTGTTGATTTATCTCATATTGAACCTAGTTCTTTCAATGCTGCATCTACAGTTCCAGAATGGCAGTTTGCAATGAGGGAGGAAATTGAGGCTCTTCATGCTCAAGGTATACTTGGGATTTGGTTCCTCTCCTAGCTCATAAGAATCTTGTTGGTTGTAAGTGGGTATATAGAATCAAGAAACATGCAGAGGGTTCTATTGCTCAGCATAAGGCTCGTTTGGTTACTAAAGGATTTAGACAAGAGGAAGGTATCGACTATAGTGAAACCTCTAGCCCTGTAGTAAAACCAAACAATGTTTGATTAGTCCTTGCTCTTGCAGCTCAGTTCAACTAGTCCTTTCGGCAACTCGATGTAAAAAATGCATTTTTGCATTGTATCCTTCAAGATGAGGTTTACATGACTCAACCCCAAGGCTTTGAGAGCACGCATCATCCCTCTAAATTTGTTTGTAGACTAAGGAAGTCTTTGTATGGTTTAAAGCAGGCTCCTCGTGCCTGAGAGATGAGAGTATTTTTTTTTTTTTTTTTTTTTTTTTTTTTTTTTTTTTTTAGTACCTTGGGTTTTCAAGCGTCAACTGCCTATCCCTCCCTATTTTTTCAACATTTTTCTCTTGGCATTGTGGTCTTACTCCTATATGTTGATGATATCATCCTCACAAGCAGTGATTCCTCTCTTATTACATATGTTATTGCAGCTTTGACCCAAGAATTTGATATGAAGGACTTAGGCCAGTTGAATTATTTTCTAAGGCTGCAAATTTCATATAAGTCCACTAGTTTATTTGTGTCTCAAACTAAATATATCAAGGAATTACTTGATAAAGTTGATTTGCAAGATTCGAAACCATGTACCACTCCTTGTCTTCCCTATCACAGATTACTTAAAGATGATAGGAAGCCTTATTCTCATCCAACACAATACAGGAGCATTGTTGGAGCACTGCAGTACCTCACCTTCACAAGGCCAGACATTGCCTTCTCAGTGAATCAAGCTTGTCAATTCGTGCATAATCCCATGGAATCTCATGTTTTGGCGGTTAAAAGGATCTTAAGGTATTTGAAAGGCACCATTGATTTTAGAATTCATTTTCAACCTGATCCTCTTAATCTGCAGGCTTACAGTGATGCTGACTGGGCTAGGGATCCTAATGATCAACGGTTTGTCCCGGGGTTTATAGTTTACTTAGGCTCTAGTCCTATTTCTTAAGCTTCTAAGAAACAACATACCGTCTCCCGTTCATCCACTGAGGCAGAATATAGGGTCCTTGCTATTGCCACTGCTGAGCTTGCCTGGATTAGACAATTGTTCTATGATCTTCATGTGCCTTTACGTATTCTTCCGTTAATTCATTGTGACAATATATATGTTATTTCTCTGTCTTCTAATCCAATTTTGCATTCAAGAATGAAGCATCTGAAAATAGATTACCACTTTGTCAGAGGGCGAGTTATCCACAATGATTTGCTTGTTCAACATGTATCTTCTGCAGACCAGTTTGCTGACATTCTCACTAAGGGTTTTTCTACTCCTCTGTTCCAGCAAAATTGTTCCAATCTTATGCTTGGCTCCTCCAAGCATGCGACTGAGGAGGGATGTAAAGATATCAATGGTCCTAGTGCTGCCACATGTCAGAAGATTAAATAACAAATCTGTTGAGATATTGTTAGACATGTTAGGCAGTCTACGAAAACTGTTAGTACTAATAAGAGAAGGTTAAAGAAGTTAGAGAGGTTAGAAACACGTGAACAAGGCTTTAACTCAACTGATATAAGGTTTGTAATTGTGCTAAGTTGAGCTTAAATGAGAAATACAACAAGTCTCTTCTCTATCTCTGAAATTCTCTCTGCTCTCTCTGCTTTATTTCTTTTCTCTCTTTGCTCTATATTCCTTTGGGACATTTTGGAAAAGGCCATAAAAGAAGCCAAAATGGACAAAAATGCCCTTATTACTTTTGGATTTCCTAAGGAATTCTTTACATTTGCATGTCTTTGGTTTGAAAGTTGAGGGGTTTTTCTGTCTTTTTCAGAAATTTTTTGATTTTTTCCAAAAATGAAAGTTTTTTTGTGACCAAAACCTAAATTTACTTATTCGTTTTCAATCTTCCTATCTTAACACTCTGGTCTTAATTAATTATTTGTTGCCTATTTTCCTTTGGTTGGGTTGGCTTAGGTAAGTTGCACAATCCGTGCTTATGAAGCAAGCAACTAATGTTGTTCAAAGTTCAAAGTTACAAATTTTGCATTGACTCCTCCACATGCTAGGAGGCATGACCATTGCTTACAAGTTCCATGGTTCTCTACTTCACTGATTTGCTTGTCCTCTTTCCTCCACTTCCCATCCCTCTATCTTTCATAAGTTTCATTAGGGAAAGATCTCGGTTGATTTACTTGATCATTTTTAGCACATTTTAAACAACTTCCTCACCCAAGCACAAAATCTATGGCTCTAGAGAAATTTCATTGTGGGACACAGATTAAGTGCCCCATCATTGTAGAATTCTTTTGTCAATAATAATCATGCGAGGCCCTCTCTCATCCTCTTAATTATTGCACTTGAAAAGCCCCCCTTCTTCATGAAGCCAACCAATGCGCAAAATGCCCTTGATGAAAATGCCAAGCATTCCTTTTTGGAAATTGATAGGTGTGAGTATGTGAGAGGGAAAGGCATAGAGGGAAAAAAGAAAGTTGGACACATGGAGAAGATACCTATCTTATTTGATTAACATTTGAAAAGGTATTTTATATATAAAAGTCAGCAATCAGAACAGAAGCAAGCACATGGAAATTGAATCAAACAACACTCAAAACCTCTCATATCAAATTCAAGATACACAACAATGGGGTATAATATTCCCCCAAAGCCAAAAAGGGTTAGAAAAATACAGGTACAGAAGATTAACTGACAACTCAATTAACAAAGCAATTGAGAAAGAGAAATTAATATGTGGTCTGGTCCTACACTCCATCTTCCAATATCCCACACAGCCTGTTAAAGGAATTCAAAATAATGCAAAGTTTGATGGGTCACATGGAATAAAAAGCAACACTGACACATCCACACATGCCCTGCCTCCTTAATGCATATGCACATGATGCCTGTCTCCTTGAGAGCTCCCTCTGCAACACCACTCATCTATCTATTTCAAACTCTTGTTAACTAAGAATGCTATCATCAGCCGTTCACACGAATTTTAATCGTTGAAGCATTCTCAGTCTCAGTCCCTAAATTAAATCTCACAACTAATCACAACCATTTTCTCTATTTATATTATACACACAAGTCACAACCATCAAAAGTAACTTCTTCTTTTTTTGCTTTTTTATATAGTTAGCAAACTATGCACTCACTTCTCTAGCATATTGAGCCCTAAACACTTTTGGGTCATTAATGTTCTCCTCTTTGATGTCAATGATCCTATAGAACTTCTTCCAATGTGGGACGGCGAGCTGCCAATAAGGTACACTGGAGGTGCCTGTGGCAAGTGATCAAATGGTCGTTTGTGAGGCCTGAGGCTTGCATGAAAGAATGAACAACTGTTGGACCCACAAACCTAAATCCCCTCCTAACCATGTCCTTGCTGATGGACTCTGATTTCGATGTCTTAACTGGGATTTTGTAGCCTAATTTGTACTGAGGTGAGATGGGTTTCTGATTGACAAACCCCCAGATGTACTTGTCAAATGATCCAAATTCCTTCTTAATCTGCAATTAATAGCACAAAAGATGGGGCACATTAGTTTAAATATAACACATAATTCTGATGAACAGCCAAGTGTATTAAAATCAGAAGGGCTATTATTAGGTATATAATTCTTGCAGTAATATAATTCATATATTGCAGACATCATGCAGGACAGTTGGAAGCCACTAGTGGACAAGCTTTTCACCAAATAAGAAGAAAAGAATAATAGATTAAAGATTGAAACCCAAAAAAGAATTATAGATTAAGCTGCTAATGATGGTCAAAGTCAATAACTGCTTTAATATTCCTTTATTTTTTATGGGTTTTGTTTACTTAAATGTTTCTTTTGAGTAACAAGTCCATTAAAAAAGAAGACATGATCATTTGATCAGCAAAGATGGTCCTTAAAAGAAGGGGACAGAATAGATGGAAAAGATTGATAGATGACAAAATTTTTGAGGATTGCCTTAGTTTTTACCTCAAGAATTCGGTTAGAGTTGTCCACAACTCCTCGGACCCTGCTTATATCAATGCCATATTCTGAACCAATTGACACCATCTGCTTGTCAGTGAAATTGGCCACAATTTCTGCATCAAAATCTGAAAATGCATTCCTGCAGAGAGAAAATATACATGCACTTTTCAGAAATATTATTCCCTTTTTTTTTTAAAGAGAAGCAATATGAAAAACAAGGACTCACCTAAAATCTTGGCGTTTCTTTAAAATGGAAGTCCAATCTGAGCCAACTTGAGCTCCACTCAGAACAAGCAGTTCAAACAACATCCTGCAGTATGAACAAATTGAAACAAAATGAGTAAAAATATATGACCAATGCATACAACATTCTTCTGACATTTATCTTTATACGGTAATTACTTATCGTGAGAGTAATGTTATATACACTCGTTATATATATAATAACTTTTTTGTGTGGAATAGAGAGGGTTCTTACTTGTCATCATGAACTGGAACTCCCCATTCTTCATCATGGTAAGCAACATAGATGGGATCTGAGAATAGCATACAAAGAAAATGAAACAATCAGTGAATGAGTCGAATATTTTTAAGGAGCATAAGTTTATATTTTCAACATGAAGTTTCTCTTAAGAATATATAGACCATACCTGAATTAGCTGTGATAAAGCTGCACCTCTTCTCTTCTTCAGCTCCCTTGGCTTCTATATTACCAGAAGCATCAACAGGAACAACCTTTTCAAAGTTGGCAGACTTTGATCTTCCATAATGGGCAATCCTCATCTTCCTTTGTGCATGTTGAAGGGCCATCTGCTCCCTCCTCACAGCAGCAATGCTTCCTGGCGCCTCAGTGATCAAAGAAGACGAATAACTCAACGATGCCTCGATATTTGAAGAAGAAGAAAATCCACCAGCACTAAAATCTCCATGATGATGAAGATCAGCAGAAGCACCATCAACACCAACACTAGCACGCTTAAAGCTCTTGGACTTCTTCCTTTCCAAAATCTTAGCTCTTGTGGTACCTCCTGGGGTCACAACTTTCTCAGAACTTGAGTTCAACCCATTAGGGTCATTTCCTCTCTTTATTGCTGGTGGCCTTGGAGACTTTGACTTTGGAGAAATTGGAGGTGTTAACAATGATGAAGCCTTGCTGGAAATTCTAGGACTAGTAGAAGAAGTTGGCAATGGTGGAGGGGGAGGTGGTGTTGATATTTTCTTAATCGAATTCCGCCTGTCGAGGCTAGGAACCCGATTGCAGGTAGGCTGAAGGACAGGTCTGCCATTGATTCTAGCAACCATGGGTGTGACTTCAACCCCTATGGTCACCTTGGCCTCAGAGCTGCACATAATTTCTTAGGTTCTGTGTATGTTCTTGTGTGTTGAATATGTAAGTCTAAATGTTATGGGTTTTCTAGCAATGAACAGAAGGAGGAAAAAGACTTGATGGCTCAAAGATGTGTACAGGAGAAGAGATCAATGAAGGAGGTGGTATGGGAGTGAAGGAGAGGGGAAGGCAGGGCTTGGGGATTTTATAAAAAGGAGAGAGAGTGGGGACAGGTAAAGGGGGATTTGTAACATGGGGAGGTTGGGGCCTGCCATACTTACTTGGCCATTTGGGATTGTTTCCTATACTAATTATTGTTAGTATTATAATTGTTCATGTAGTTATATTGAATAGTGAGAGAATCAAAAGGAGATTAAAATGGGGATTTGTTGGGTGGGATTATGGGATAGTGTGCTGAAAGCCACCATGTTTTTCACTTGGGACTTCCCCCCTCTTCGCACTTTACAGAAGATATTTGGATATATCCTTCTGATATGCCAGAACTTAAAGCTGGAGTGGTGGATAAGGAAGGCAACAAGGCAAGTAAAAGACCAATTATTGATACCGTCTTTTTAGCTGGAGGGAATCTCTCTCTCTCTCTCTCTCTCTCTCTCTCTCTCTCTCTCTCTCTCTCCTCTCTCTCTCTCTCTCTCAAATTCTTTTTTTGGTAATGTTTTATAATCAAAACCTAATGGCCCTTTTGAGTAAGCACAAACTATAAAGTTTTTGAGGTTGAAGTTTGGTTAGGATTTAGTTGTTGAGCTAATCAATTGAAAGATATTACAAGTCCATACAAGACCTTTCTGAACTTACAAATGTAACCCCTCTATAATTAATTGATATATCTTTATGTCATCAATAGGCTTCTCTCATTTACTTTCCAGACAAACTGGGCTGCATTTCTTTCCAACTGTGCAGTAAAGCTCTTGATCCTTTTGTATGACAAAAAAAAACTCTTGATCCATTTTCTTTTCCTCTTTCCATTTTGTATCTGTTTCTTTTATATATAAAATGCCGAAAGGAGAATTGCAGCCTGGAATATGGGCTTTTGAACATCTGCAAGAGAAAACTGAACTAGCAAAATATTGTACAGGAAGGAAGGAATAATCATGGTTTTACACACAAGTGTAAATGCAAGCTTATATCTGCACACAACATGTACCATTTAATTTAACCTACCAATTAATTTTACCATTGAAATCTTTTCCCACCATGAATATTTCCTGGATGTGATGACAGCTCAAGCAGTTATTGAAGCCAGTATCATATCATGGTCTCTAAGATATGGTGCTTCTGTCATTGGAAGCAGTTGGAGTTGTCAATTTTCAAACAGAGTGCTGATAAACTTGTCCTCTTGGACTCTTTGGCACCTCGCATGCATTGAGGGGATGACATGTGTCATATAGTACATGTAGTGTTTTCTGAAATCACCAGAAAATGAGATTCATACTCGAACTACCTTAAGACTTACAGAGCCCCATTGATTGTAAGTGGACCCTTTTGCTAGCCTCTCATGACTTTTCACAAAGTCACAGACTCACAGGGTCTCAGAGCATACGAAACCTTGCTTCCAAGTGAGAACTTCAACCTGCAGAAGCACTTTTTATCTTAGAGCTTCCTGTTCTTGGCCTATATTACCATCTAAAGCAGCCGCAAGTGCATGCATTTGGGTTTTTTTACATTAATCTATCAAATCAATCAGATTAAACTTCTTAATCACATTTAGCTAGTGGTAAAGTTTAATTGGGTACCCTAAAAAAAAAGCATGTCACATGGGAAAAAGAACACCTACCAACATGGGGATGCTATAAGCCCCTATCCTTAATATAACAGATATCAAAGCATCTAACTTTTCTTGTTCCTCTGAGTATAAATTCTAATTTTGTATTTGGAATTTGGTTTGATGTGGGCCATTCTCTTGTCTAATGTCTATCCACCACATGAATTTTCCTGGTAATTGATGATGATTGATTTGATGAAACTTAAACTACATTTTCCTAATTAATCTCTTCAAAAAGGAATATTGTTATGTTCTAACTGCATGTACATATATTGCCTACCAAAACCAGCTAAAATATTACATCAACGAGACATCCCATGTGACATAGAACCGACATCTGAGCAATAATGAGTTTTCAATCTTTAGACAAAAACAGAGCAAAATCATGCAACTGACAATTTCCATTATACAAAGCCGCGCTTGTGTTCTTCCACTTCTACTTCATCTTTGTATCTTTCTTTATTTTTAAGTCATTTCGTAGAGCCTTCCCTTTTGAATCATTCAGTTTGGATTGTACGTTTCTATTATTCATATCTTTCTAAATTCAAATTTTCATCAACCAATAATTTTTTCACGTGTGTTAACAGGGAGACGGGGGTTTCTCTCTCCAATCCAAAACTCGCCTAAGCCCTTAGAACATAGCCCGATTTTCTTGTAATTCGTTCTTTTCCTGATCAACACATTACTATTGTTTCTCCTTTAAAAATAAAAATAAAAATGATCTAGCTGCGAAAATATATTGGTAACAAACTGAAGTAAAAGTCTATTTGGCCATATGGGTTTAATCTTGATTAATTAATAATTTCTTTATGTCAAACTAGGCAACTCCTGAAGCCAGCCTCTCTAATAAAACAGACAAATGATTTGAAGCAAAAATAGAATTGGGAATTTAGTTGAAAAATAAGAGGGAATTCTAATAGTGCAATTATGAAGCTCATGTGTGCATAATATATTAAGCTTAAGGATGCCATAGTCTTTGCTTTTTATTGTATCCACCGTCACCAGTATGAAGCTTCAAGGACATCACATTAGGCATATAAGCATTTGCAGAGATGGAGAATATGAAGCACTTTCTGACAGAGTCACTTCTACAGAAATCATTCACGGCATCGGCATTGTCACTGGCAGAGATTACTTTTGTTGAAATTCCAGGAAAAAAAACTCATTCACAGACAAACCCTGCAGAAGATAATATATATAATTATATATGTATTATTGTACGGACCAAATGGGAGGGAATATTTGGTTTTGCATTGAAGGCTACGGCAGGGAACTTGTGGACATAAGCCCATGGGAACAAAAAGCATAGATATTACCTTGTTTTTTTTTTTTGGTGCATCATGATCATCAACAATTCATGATCCAAGAAAAAAAAATTGAAGTACAATTCTATCATTCTGTACTTCGTACGTAAAACATTATATTGGATGCATTTTTGTTTTTATTTTCAATCAACATTATTGCATATAGTTGATGAAGTAATAATACAAAAGACACATATGTCTCATTCCAAAAGTTTATTTGACTTTAAAAAAAAACATATTATTAAGATTAACCATCAACTCAATTGCCATATAAAAACACCATGTGTTGTGTTCTGACTGATTATTTGTTTTTGTTTGTTTTTTTTTTTTTTTTTTTTTTTTTTTGGGCCTGGAGCCATGATGTAGGATGGGAAGTAAATAGAACAAAGCAAATTGGGCTCATTGGAAAGTGGTAGGTTGGAAATTTTGCAGGCAAAGCCCAGCGTCCACACAGTGTGATTTATTTATTTTTAGAATGATGTGATAATATACTAAATTCGCAACAAACACAAGATCTTATCTGGAGAGCATATATTCTAAACCACTACACTAGTGGGCGATTTGAATCTCAAGTCTTTTTCAAGATGTAAATGGGCTGACTGACCTTAATTGGGTCTGGTGTGGAAGCTGAGGAGGATTGCTTTTTTTCCAAGTCATGTCACTTATATAAAATGCATTGGGTGTTCAGAGATACAGATATCAAGAAAAAAAAAAAAAAAAAAAAAAAAAGAGGGGGGAAAAAAGAAAAATGACCAGAGTATTTGTAAAGAATGAAAAATCTCCAACCGAAAGATCAAACTTTAAAAATTAAGTCCAATATCGAACCTGAATTTATCCTAATCATAACGCATTATCCTACCCTCACCCGCCACTAACCCAAGGGTTTGTGCATCTCTTATGATATCCTTTTCGTGTACGTAGGTCATTGTGTTGGATGGAGTATTGCAACTTGTAAGATATAAGTTAGACTTGAAGAGTACTTCGAATACAATTTCCAGGTTCTCCTAGAGAGTTCTCCAACATTTGACTTTCCAGCCTTTATCTCAAAACGCGTATGGGGAAACGGACCCAACAAAGCCCATCGATATCAATAATCATTATCTAGGAGAAGCAAAAACACTGTACAATTCCAAATCCAGAAACTTCAAGAAAATCACTTACCCCTCTTCCTTCCAAATATAAATACTCATACGATCATGTCAAAACACTCACTAAACCATCACTTGCAATTACGACACAACTAAAACAAAACCCAGAATTAAAATCCCTCTTCCAACACACGCATACCAGAATTAAGAATGTCTCTCTTGCAGTCTCTCCTGGACCAACCCAACTTCTTGTCTCCTCTCAGAGTTTTTAACTCAGACATAGGCTACAACAACACCTACATGAACTGGAAGGAGACTTCACATGCCCACATCTTTGAAATTGATCTTCCAGGCCTTACAAAAGAGGATGTGAAGCTTGAGGTGCATGAAAATAGAGTGCTTCATGTGAATGCAGAGAGAAAGGCAGAGCCTGAAGCAGAGGACCCCAAGAATGAAACGTGGCACTGCAGGGAAAGGACAAGTGACAGCTTCTCTAGAAACTTTCGGCTGCCTGAAAATGCCAAGGTTGATGAGATTAAGGCTTCCATGCGTGATGGGGTTTTAGTAATTACAGTGCCTAAGGAGGATGAGTTGAAGAAAAAACACAAGCATCACAAGAAGGTTGAGATCTCTGGAGATGATGAAAAACATGGCTCCAAAGGGCTCGGACGCTTTGTGTGCTGCAAAGCTTAGAGAATATAATTACACTATGAGACCCTTTTTCAATCAATGTTCATGAATTCAAATCTTTCTTGTGATTTTTGTTTGGGGTATGTAATTTTGCTTTGTGATTGATTTTTGGTGTGAATTTGTGCTGTTCGTATTGTATGTACGAATGACACTTGTAAAGGTCTATTAGTTTTTAAGTTCAAGTTCAAAGTAATGTAAATGGAGTGTAATTTGCAACATTGTGATTTTAAGCCCAATTCTCATTTCAGTCTCTTGACTAGTTTAAGTTTAATTATCTTTTTTGATGTCAACTTTACTTAAGTAAGTCTTGCCCAGATATAGAATAATATGTGGCTAGCTTATGCCTTTTTATATAATAACTCTTAGTGCTTTTAAAAAAAATTTATCAGCATTTCAACAAATAAATGAATTTAAGACCGTCTATCATAATATTCTTAACATTTGCGTAGCGTGTATGAGTTTTATATATTATCGTTTCTTTTAATATTATCCTGTGAAAATAAGGAATAATTTGCTAGAATGTTCCACAAAGATCCCATGGAGCTTGTCCAAACAAAGGAAAGGGAATGTGTTTTGGACTGATTTAAAATGCTTGATTACTTCAACACGTTTGAGCAATTAAAGGATAGTATACTTAACCTAATGATTATTTAGTGGATGAGAAACTTTAAATATTATATGATCTGTACTCTGTCAAGTTCAAGTAAATGTAAACAATGTTCAAGTCTTGAACAGCTAATATATGTTAATTTAATTCATTAAATTGGTCCGGATGTAAGTTGTCCACTAGCTAGGACCTTCCCCTAGTGGGGTTGACTCAAATTACACCATGAATAAAATACAGTATCAATCTAAAACGAGACTTAATTTCCAAAGCTACATGTTTGCATGTTACCCTTTGTTCGATAAGGCTCAATAGTGCTTCTCACGTATTTTTCAAAACCCCACAACGCATCAACTCAGTTTCTAGAGCTATATATAAAAACAAGTCTAGCTGAAGATAAAAATTAAGCATACACCATAACACCAACTACCAGGACCAAGCTGAAATTAAACATGAAGTTGTGCATTTCTGCGTTGTCTGTTGTTCTTGTACTGTTGTTTGTATCTGCAGCACCTCAATTAGCAGCTAAAAATGTAAACAAGCCCCGGGCCACAGTTGTGCGTGCAGCGGATCTTCTGTCTTTCGACCACTATCTTAAAACATGCCCCCAAGCTGAGGGCATCATTCAGCAAAAAACGGGAGACTGGATCCAGAAGGATTTCACTTTGGCTGCTAGCATCATTCGGTTGCACTTCCACGACTGCGCTGTGAGAGTAAGCTCGCATTCGCATTAAACTTTATCATTTTTTCTTCTTTTACATTGGAAAAGAGCCAACGCTTAACATATCCTAATCCGAACGCATTACTAATTAGTATTTTTTTTAAGTCATTTACCATGTTCTAAAATGTGAGACGAAAATTTAGCAGTTAATAGAACAAAGGCTTAGGGCATATAAAGAAAGAAATTTTACATGTTTTAGATGTGATGAAAATAACTCTACATTGCAGGGCTGTGATGCATCAATTTTGCTTAACCATCAAGGGAGCGAGAGGAGAGCTTTTGCCAGCAGGACACTCAGAGGTTTTCAAGTAATAGATGACATCAAGGCAGAGCTTGAGAGGCAGTGTCCTAAAACTGTCTCCTGTGCTGACATTCTCACTTCTGCAGCTAGAGATGCCACCATTATAGCTGGGGGTCCATTTTGGCAAGTTCCGTTCGGGCGTAAAGATGGACGGATTTCAATTTCCAGGGAAGCTGACTCTGTTCCTCAGGGCCATGAAAATGTAACTGCACTGATTGAATTTTTCCAAGCACGTGGCTTGAACATGCTTGATTTGGTCACCCTTTCAGGAGCGCACACCATTGGTAGAAGTTCTTGCTCTTCCTTCAAGTATAGGCTCTCAAACTTCAATGGAACCAGAAAGCCTGATCCTTCACTTAATTCCATGTATTTGAACAACTTCTTGAAGAAGAAATGCCAAAAAGACTTGGACTTGATTTATCTTGATGCCATAACTCCGAAGACATTCGACACGCAGTTCTACTCGAATCTTCACAAGAAGTTGGGGTTGCTATCTACAGATCAGTTGCTCAAGTCAGATGTAAGAACTGGTCCATTTGTTGCTGCATTGGCATCTCAGCCCTCCCTTTTTGAGAGCCAGTTTGCAGTATCCATGGTGAAGCTTGGAAATGTCCAAGTTCTTACAAGACCAAATGAAGGTGAAATCCGAGTGAACTGCAATTTTGTCAATGCTTGATCAAGCCCATAATATGTTTTTCTTTTTTCCCTTTTACCAGTTCGAAAAGCTAATTGCATTTTAATAAGTTGAAGCTTGGATTTATGTGTCTGATCACAAAATACTCCCTAAACAGTATGTAGGTTCGATCCTGCTTAGGGAAGTTTCTTGTATTATGATAAAGTCTCTACCCATATATTGTACTGCCACATTGAAAAAGATATAAAATTAATGATCATGAATGTTATATCTACAGTTGCACATTGGTGTGACTATCATACTGCCACGTAAAATAATAACACCACGAGATGAGACAACAGTCGCACCCAGGTATTTTCGCACATGTTCCAGGCGACGGACTTTGAGCTTATAAGCATACAGAAAAATGACAAAGTTGAAACAAAAAGGGAATCAGAAAAATTGTACATCAACAACACTGAGCCCGTTGGATCAAATATGCAACTGACCATAGTTATAATAGTCTTGTAAAAGTTGGAAACTTTACCCTTTTGTGACAGCTAGTGGAGTCAATTCCTGCCTGATACTTTTTCCATTTTGTTTCCCTCCATCTTGGACTCACATTCTCATGAAAACATTCATCTTTGACAGAAAAGTAAATTTCTTTTCGGCAAAGAGACTTGTATAATGTGGGAAAATTGAGAAAAGGGTTTAAATTTTTTCAACTTCTTTCATTTTTCATTTGTGCCAATATGAAAAGGGAGTGTGCTATTCTGGCAATAGATATTATCCAGCAAAGAAAGCAAAGCCAAGACATGCCTCCAAATCAGTGGAACAAATTTGAGATACTATAATTGGATCTTGGAAATAACCCTAATCCTTAGGCAACTATTATTTATCATGACCCCACACCCAGTCAGGCAGTCACCGATCCAACCCAATCAACGTATTATTTATTACAAGATAAAGCAAAAGTAATCAGTCCAATATTTTTTTCTTTTTCTCAAAACCCAGAAAGGATAAAAAAACAGGGATCAAGAAAGAAAAACAGAGACCAGAGACAACAAAAAAACAGAGTGAGAGAGTGATCAGAATTGAGAGAAATGGCGAAGAAGGCAGTGCTGATAGGATGCAACTACCAGGGAACCAAGGCAGAGCTGAAGGGCTGCATTAACGACGTGAAGAGGATGCACAGCTGCCTTGTGGACAGATATGGCTTCCGTGAAGATGACATCCAAGTTTTGATCGACTCAGATTCCTCCTACACTCAGCCCACCGGCAGAAACATCCGCCGGGCCATCACCAACCTCATCCGATCTGCCGATTCCGGCGACGTCCTCTTTGTCCACTACAGCGGCCATGGCACCCGCCTTCCCGCGGAGACTGGCGATGACGATGACACTGGCTATGATGAGTGCATCGTCCCCACTGACATGAACCTCATCACTGGTCTGTTTCTGATTGCCCTCTCTCTTGTTCTTTCTCTTTTTGTGGCCTGTTTTGGTTTTCAAGTTTTGGGTTTTGTTGGAAAATTCAGTCTGATAATTGTTTTGATGATTGATGATTATGTGGGTTGTCTCTGATGATTGTTTTGATGTGTTTGTTTCTTGTATCTGATGAACAAAATTGATGGATCATGGATAGAGTTAGAGCATTTCAGGAAAATAGACATCTTGTTTTGTTGGTCCAAAGATTTTGGATTAACTGAATTTCTGTTTGGAAATCTGGATATTAATTTTAACTATTTGGGTTGTTGGTCTGCATTTGAATGATTCAAAGTGCTGATTCTGAGCTTGAATGATGTGCTTATGTTTTCAGGTTTGATATTGTGTTTAGGTCCAAAATTAGGTCATTTCTATCTAATTATCTTTCTAATACAAACTCAAAATAAACCTTCAGCTCAAAACACTGTAATCTAAATCTCAAAAGCAATATCAACATCGAAATACGAGAAGAGTTTATTTATAAAGGTTCTAATGCTACTTTGAACATAATGTGATTGTTCTGTTTGTTCTTCGGTTGATATGACAAGTTCACAACCGTTGTGGAATGTATTTGCAACAGATGATGACTTCAGGGAGTTTGTAGACCAGCTGCCAGCAGGTTGCCGGCTGACAATGGTATCAGATTCTTGCCACAGCGGCGGCCTCATTGATGAAGCTAAAGAGCAGATAGGGGAGAGCACCAAAGGGGAAGAGCGCAAGTCTAGCTCTGGTTTTGGTGGATTCAAGAACTTCCTCAAGGACAGGGCAGAAGATGCACTTGAGTCTCGTGGAATCCGCATCCCGTCTGCATTGCGCCCCGATCGGCACCATGAAGAAGAGTCTGATGACAGAGAAATTGAAACTGGATATGGGCACAGGGGCTATGTCAAAAGCAGGTCTCTGCCACTCTCAACTCTCATAGAGATACTCAAGCAGAAAACAGGAAAGGATGACATTGATGTTGGGAAGCTGAGGCCAACACTCTTCGATGTTTTCGGAGAAGATGCCAGTCCTAAGGTGAAAAAGTTCATGAAGGTCATCATGAACAAACTCCAAAACCATGAGGGCAGCAGCGGTGGGTTATTGGGGAAGATTGGAAGCTTGGCTCAAGGGTTTCTTGAACAAAAGCTTCAAGATAACGATGAGTATGCAAAGCCTGCTTTAGAGACACAAGTGGGTAGCAAGCAAGAGGTTTACGCCGGAGCAAACCACCGCGCTATTCCTGATGGCGGGATTCTCATCAGTGGTTGCCAGACGGACCAAACTTCTGCGGATGCCAG